GTCTCGAACCCGCGGGCTCAAGCAATCCGCTCACCTCAGCCTCCCAAAGGCGCGGGATTACAGGCTGAGCCACCGAGCCCGGCTCTTACTGAGTTCTTAATGGGTGCTAGGAACCATTCTAAGTGCTTTACATATATTACTTCATTTACTCTCTTAACTACTGTATCAGGTAGGATTTATTTTGAGTAGAGACAAATAATAACAGTTAACATTTATGAAGCTAAATTACCATGTGACATAGATTATTTTACTTAATCTTCAAAACCTCTCATGAAGAAAATTAGGCTGGATTCAGCGGTTCAGCCTGTAATCCCAGCACTTTGGAAGGCTGAGGCAAGTGGATTGTCTGAGCCCATGGGTTCAAGACCAGCCCAGGAAACTTGGCAAGACCTCGTCTCTACAATAAAATAAAAAATTAGTTGGGCGTGGTAGTGTGTGCCTGTAGTTCCAGCTACTTGGAAGGCTGAGACAGAAGGATTACTGGAGCCCAGCAGTTCGAGGCTGTGGTAACCATAAGCGTGCTATTGCACTCCAGTGTGGGCAACAGAGTGAGATTCCAACTCAAAAAAAGGAAAGAAAGAATATGATAATAAGGCCAGGCATGGTGGCTCACACCTATAATCCCAGCACTTTTGGAGGCCGAAGTAAAAGGATTGCCTGAGCCCACAGGATTGAGACCAGCCTGGGCAACTTGGCAAGACCTCAACTCTACAATAAATTTTAGAAAAACATTAGCTGGGTGTGGTGGCCCGTGCCTGTGGTTCCAGCTATTTGGAAGGCTGAGGTGGAAGGATCGCCTGAGCTCAGCAGGTCGAGGCTGCGGTGGCCGAGTGTGCCGCTGCCCTCCAGCCTGGGAGACAGAGAGAGACATTCCGACTCAGAAAACAACAACAAAGAATATTAACAGTTACTTCCCTTTTACAGATGAGCAAGTTGACGAGTGAACTGAGGATATGAATCTCAGTAAGCTAACTACAGAGTCCACATAGTTAACCGTTGTACCGGTACTTTCCAAACTGCAGGGCCCATTGATGAATGGCTTCCATCACAAGAATAACCTTAAGGGTGAAAGTTAGAGGAAAGCAAGATGAAGAACTTTTAAACTATTGATGCTGCCCAGAATAGAAAGAGATTTCCTTAGGAGAATTTTTCCAAATTGCTGGAGAATCTTTTGTGGGAGAGATTTAAGCAACTAATGAGAGTAAAATAGATTATTATCTTGAATTGAGAGTATCTTGCAATTCTGAAATTTTATGACTTGGACACAATATAATTAAAGACGGAAATGAAGGGATCATCTTTTACCTATTAAATGAATTTCATTCTAAACTCTAGGTTTTTTTTGTTTTGTTTTGCTTTTTTGAGTAGGAGTCTTACTCTGTGGCCCAGGTTGGAGTACTGTAGCAGCTCACTTATTGCAGCCTCAACCTGCTGTGCTCAGGCGATCGTTCAGCCACAGTCTTCCAAGTAGCCGGAACCCCAGGCAAGCGCCAACACGCCCGGCTAATTTTTTGATTTATTGTAGAGAGAGGTCTTGCCATGCTGTTCAGGCTGATCTGGAACCCTTGAATTTAGGCAATCCTCTCGCCTCGGCCTCCCAAAGTGCTGGAATTACAGGCGTGAGCCACTGAGCCCGGCTCTAAACTCTGTTTTTTGGGGGTTTTTTTGTTTTTTGTTTGGAGTGGGAGTCTCACTCTGTCGCCCAGAGAGGAGTGCAGTGGCCGCTCCCGGCCACCGCAGCCTCGACCTGCTGAGCGCCGGTGATCCTTCCGCCTCAGTCTTCCCAGTAGCCGGAACTACAGGCGCGCGCTACCACGCCCGGCTGATTTTTGATTTGTTGTAGAGATGAGGTCTCGCCAAGTTGCCGAGGTGGGTCTCGAACCCACGGGCTCAGGCAATCCACTCACCGCAGCCTCCCAAAGGGGCGAAATTACAGGCTGAGCCACCGAGCCCGGCTCTAAACTCTGTTTTAACATTTCTCTGAGAATCATTTTTGCAAAGTACCACCTTTTTTTCGCCCCTGTAGGATACACATTCTCAAATGTTAATTCTCAAGTTCCATAAAAACACTTGCATAATACTTGCTCTCCTTAGAACTCTTCCACGTGTTTGCAAAGTCTTTGTCTCTGATGGGGAAAACCTTTGGTTCTAGCTGGGTGTAATTTCTTGTCTTTCATCCCGATCCACATTTCCATATTTCCTAGTCAGCTGCTCAGTAATACCTCCAGGACTAACCGCCAAGGTCTAGGAACGCGAAAGCCTGGTTTCTCCCCTCAGGTGCCTTCTTTTCAGCGCCCAAAGGACCGAACGCTCCTCCGCCAGAGGCCAAAAGGAACTGGCATCCTCTGTCATAGCAACGGTTTCTATGTACAGCGCGGCCGGCGGGCAGCGGAGATCAGGGCCTGGCCGAGAACCCGGCGCTCACCATTCAAGCTGCCACCGTCTGAAATCGCTCCCCACCCCCGGCTTTGATCACTAGGCTGGCTGTCTCCGGTGAACCCCCGGGAACTGCGGTGTTGGAGCGCGCCCCAACATCCGCCAGCGTCCGCGGCGGTTTGTTTCCCCGACCCGGAAGGATGCTCGTCCCACAGCACGCTCCCTCTCGCTCACGTCCCACTGTGCGTTTGTTTCTCCGCTTCCGCCTTTCACCCCGAGTGGGGCAGGGAGAGACTGCGACGCGAGACGCTGTTTCACCGGCGGCAGGGACACACACTCACTCACCCGGTTCTCGGCTCTGCGCCCGGCGGAGGACGCGACGCCCCGGTCGGCAGCAGCGTCGCAGGTGCTGAAGGAGGGGCGTGTCGCCCGCGGTGGGATCCAGGGGCGAGGCTGACGGCCGGGGGCGGAGACCAAGCCCTCTGCGGGATGATTGGCTACTCCTGACCTGCCCCCCCCCAACCCGGTGGTTGGCCTCGCGAGCCCCAGCGTCACCTTCTCCACCTCACTGGGTCATAGGACCCCCCGGCAAAAGAGTTGAAGTGGGAGCGTCCCCCTTCCTCTCCGTGGGGTTTCGGTTTGTTGGAGAGGGAGGTAAAATGCTGTTATTGTTGTTATCTTGGACTGCTGTACTCCCTGAGAGGTAAATTGATTACCTCCACTTAACTACAAAAGGTAAATAAAATTTCAGTGCATTGCAACCTAGATTGATTTACATACTTCTTCACCTTCAAACAACAGAGTAAATGGAAGACAAGATTCCCTCTTCCTTTTCATTCATTCCACATTTTCTGAGTTCTGGTTATGGGGTCAGACACCTTACTAGGTGCGGGGATAAAAAGGTGAATAAGACATAATACAATTCAGATGACTGAAACAATAGAGATCATTTGCTAAGAAATTTGTTGTATAATTTCAGACTAGTTAAAATAGATGATGAACATAAAGCGCCTAGTACATACAGTGCCTAGCACACAACAGTTCAATTGCTTCTCTTCCCCTTTTGCACTTAAATTAGACTAGAGTCCATTGGCAGACACTGTTACAAATTTTTTTTTTTTTTTTTTTTGAGTTGGAGTCTCACTCTGTCACCCAGACTGGAGTGCAATGGCCGCTCCCAGCCACCGCAGCCTCGACCTGCTGGGCTCCAGCGATCCTTCCGCCTCAGCCTTTCAAGTAGCTGAAACTACAGGCGCGCGCTACCATGCCCGGCTAATTTTTGATTTATTGTAGAGATGATGTCTCGTCAAGCTGCCCAGGCGGGTCTCGAACCCACGGGCTCAGGCAATCTACTCACCTCAGCCTCCCAAAGTGCTGGGATTACAGGTTGAGCCACCGAGGCCGGCCTGTTACAAATTCTAATGCTCAAGCTATGATTACTTATTATTTTTCCATTACCAGTGTTGGAGAATGTTAAATTTGCATGCTTATGGATGCAATTCACATATAATGTATATACCTGGTAGGGTCACACAGCCAGTAACAATGGGCAATGTAGGTATTTTGACCCACAGTCTTATACTAAAGCCCATATTGTTTACCATTCTATCACTAAGTCCCATCAGTTCAACTTCAAAATGTATCTCACAGCCAGTCACTTCTCACCCCATCCACAGCTACCACCTGGGCCCCGCCACTGTTATTATTGGCCTTAAGTATTATCTATGGTCCCTTACTGGTTTTCCTGCTGTCACTTGTCCTTATATAGTCTATTCCCAAGACAGCCTGAGTTATTATTATTATTATTATTTTATTTTTTATTTTTTTGGTCTTAAACCAGATCACTCTCCTACATACTGTCCCAATGGCTTTCATCACAAGGCCTTAAATGAGCTGGCCTCTGCCCACCACTGCAACCTCATCTCCCACTTATCCCACAGTCATGGAGTTTGAGCCACGTGGATGTGTCAAGTGGGAACAAGATAAGTTCACTTTCCGCACTCCAGTCTGGGTGACAGAGTGAGACTCCAACTCAAAAAAAAAAAAGAATTTGTAACAGTGTTTGCCAATGGACTCTAGTCTAATTTAAGTGCAAAAGGGGAAGAGAAGCAATTGAACTGTTATGTGCTAGGCACTGTATGTACTAGGCGCTTTATGTTCATCATCTATTTTAACTAGTCTGAAATTATACAACAAATTTATTAACAAATGATCTCTATTGTTTCAGTCATCTGAATTGTATTATGTCTTATTCACCTTTTTATTTAGGGTTTTTACACAGGCTGCTTCTCCTATTTCAGTCCTCTGCTCAAATAACAACTCTGCCTAGACATTTCTTTTTCTTTTTTGAATTGGGAGTCTCACTGTCACCCAGCCTGGAGTGTAGTGGCACGATTATAGCTTACCACAGCCTCGACCTTCTGGGCTCAAGTGATCCTCAGTTCCCATTGTAGGTGGCGCATACAACCACACCTGGCTAATTTTTTATTTTTATTTTTGTAGAGATAAGGTCTCACCATGTAGCCTAGGCTGGTCTTGAACTCTTGGGCTCAAGCAATCCTCCCCTACCTTGGCCTTCCAAAGTGCTGGGATTACAGGCGTGAGCTATTGCACCCAGCCCAACTAGACTTATTTTCTACATAGAATTTATTTTAGAAGGGGTGGGGTGGAGATGCAGCTTATTTTTATACCTTTCCCTTTTTGTGTGTGTGTGTGTTGGAGTCTCACTCTGTCATGCAGGCTGGAGTGTAGTGGCATGCTCATAGCCACTGCAGCCTTGACCTGCTAGACTCAGGTGATCCTTCCATCTCAGCTTTCCAAGTAGCTGGAACTACAGGCACCCACCACTGCGCCCAGCTAATTTTTTAATTTACGTAGAGATGAGGTCTTGCCAAGTTGCCCAGGCTGGTCTTGAACCCGTGTGCTCAGGCAATCCTCTCACCTTGACCTCCCAAAGTGCTGGGATTATAGGTGTGAGCTACCATGCCCAGCTACCTCTTCATTTCTTATATCATCTTTTTTTGAATTAACTCCAATCTCTTAAAATAGTTTCAGAGTCTTACAGCACTGTTACCTCCAAATACTGACAATCATAATTTCTCCACTTTGAAAGTGAAACTGAGGCTAAAAGAAATAATGTGAACTAGTCAGTCACTGAACTGCAGGTCTAGATTTGAATGAATCTCCAGTGTTTTTCCCATGAACATGGGTATGCTTTTCAGTGTGTTCAGTCAGTGTGTTCAGTCAGTAAGTTTATTAGAGGACAAGTTATACACTAACTTCAAGCTCATTTACAAATTTCATATTTATAGGGCACTATTCAAAAAATATATATATTTTTTGAGTTGGAGTCTCATTCTGTCATTCAGGCTAGAGTGCAGTGGCATGCTCACAGCCACTGCAACCTCAACCTGCTGGACTCAGGCAATCCTTTCAAGTAGCTGGAACTACAGGCATGCACCACCCTGCCCAGCTAATTTTATTTATTTATTGTAGAAACAAGGTCTCACCAAGTTGCCCAGATTGGTTTCAGGCAATCCTCTCACCTCAGCCTCCCAGAGTGCTGGCTGGGATTACAGGTTTGAGCCACCTTGCCCAGCCGAAAAGAATCTTTTAAAAACAATTTTATAGAATTTTTTTCCCTTAAAACTGTCCAGGTAGTTAAGTGGTAAAATTACTTCCAGTTTATATGAAGGGGTGCAAAGAGATAAATGACTAATGGAAAGCAATCTTGAGTTCCAGGTGTTATTACTTCTCCATTAAGTTGCTCTGTCCAGGATTCGAGACCCACCTGGGCAGCGAGACCTCATCTCTACAATAAATCAAAAAATCAGCAGGGCGTGGTAGCGCATGCCTGTAATTCCGGCTACTCGGAAGGCTGAGGCGGAAGGATCGCCGGAGCCCAGCAAGTGAGGCTGTGGTGGCCAGGAGCGGCCACTGCACTCCAGTTTGGGCGACCGAGTGAGACTCCAACTCAAAAAAAAAAAAGTTGCTCTGTCCAGTTAACCAGATAATGATATTCAATAAAACTATGACTATGCAAAGGACTAAGTTAAGAGAAGTGTGTAACTACTTTATCCAATGAATTGCAGTTTAGCTGTTCAGGGAACTGTCATAAAGCAATGTTACGGTACATATTGAAATTCTCAGATCAAAAAAGGAGAAGTGCAAGAAGGAATATAGCAGAATTATAAAGTTATAAAAGCCATGTATAAAGGAAAACTTGGACCAAGGAAGCACTCTTTAAAAATCTGAGCATGGTAGCACTTTATATAGCATGTAATAAATTTATAGAATTTAGTACAAGAAGACGGAAGTAGAAATACAGGTTTTTGTTTTGTTTTTTGGAGTTAGAGTCTCACTGTCACCCAGGCTGGAGTGCAGTGGCACACTCACAGCAACCACAGTTTCAACCTGCTGGGTTCAGGTGACCCTTCCACCTCAGTCTTCCAAGTAGCTGGAACTACAGGCATGTGTCATCATGCGCAGCAAATTTTTCTTGATTTACTGTAGAGATGAGGTCTCAGCTCTGCGCCCCGCAGAGGACGCAACACCGCGGTCGCCAGCAGCGTCACAGGTGCTGAAGGAGGGGTGTGTTGCCCGCGGCAGGATCCAGGAGCGAGGCAATACTCTCATCTCGGCTCCCTAAGTTCTAGGATTACAAGCATAAGCCACCGCACCCGGCCAAAATACAGGTTTTTTAAAATGCCAATGGAGAATTTTTTGAATGTCATAAACATACCTTTTTTTTTTGTTTTTTGGAGTTAGAGTCTCACTCTGTTGCCTAGGCTGGAGTGCAGTGGCTCACTCATGACCACTGCAGCCTTGACCTACTGGACTCAGGTCATCCTTCCACATCAACCTTTCAAGTAGCTGGAAGGCGTGCGCCACTATACCCGGCTAGTTTTTAAAAGTTTACTTATTGCAGAGACCAGTGGACCAGGCTGGACATACCTATTAATAAAGTTGGAATATATCTAATCTTTAAAATGAATGTTAGGGAGGCCTACATGATATTCTATAACCACGGAATCCTGGAACAGATAGAGTACGGGTGTGGCCATCAATCCACACCCCTAAAATTAAGGCAAAGTATTTAAACATTTATCCAGTAACTCAGTATAAACCAATCTGTACTCTTTTTATACCTTAAAAAAATTGTTGACCTTAATGATTACACCTGGGAAACTGCAACTGACCTAATAGCATGCTTCATCTACTTTTCTTGGGGTTACTTTTGCCTGACAAAAAGCAACAATTAAAGTTTCCCTTTCCTCTTCCAAGATTTAAAAAACAATCAATGCATTATATAGAAATGCTATGCTGAGTAATAAATGAAAAACTGAACTCAAATGATATATGTACATGGATATCATGTACACTGGTATACTCGTACCATATAACACTAGACAGCTTACAAACAGTTGGTGACATAGAATAGTGGTTTCCAAGAAACCTTTTATTTACCTATTTGTTTTTGAGTTAGTCCCACTTTGTCACCCAAGATGGATTGCAGTAGCAGTCACGGCTCACCACAGCCTCGATCTTCTACTCTCAAGCAACTCTTCTGCCTCAGTCTCCTGAGTTGCTGGGACTACAGGCGCACACTACCACTCCTGGCTAATTTTTAAATTTTTTTGTAAAGACAAGGTCTCACTATGTTGCCTAGGCTGGTCTCAAACTCCAGAGCTCAAGCAATCGTCCTGCCTCAGCCTCCCAAAGTGCTGGGATTACAGGCATGAGCCACCACATTTGACCAAGAAACTTATTTAATCAGATTTTCAAAGGGTTCTAAAAACCTGCATTCTTAACAGGAATGCAGATGATTCCAGCTTTTTTTTTTTAACTGGAAAATATAGTTTATTTAGAAAGTAAATTAGAATAGAGAAGAGATTCACCTCCCCAAGGTAGGGGAGGGAGCCAAGGCTGGGAAACATGGCAACCATGGCTCAAGGAGCCACATGGTCAGACCATGGCTTAACAAAGCAATGGCAAATGGCTACTTAAGATCAAATCCTTTTCGATTCCAGCTTTTGATTAAAGTATGGCTAGGTGCCAGACACGGTGGCTCATGCCCATAATCCCAGCACTTTGGAAGGCTAAGGCAAGAGGATTGCCTAAATTCAGGGGTTCAAGACCAGCCTGGGAAGCATGGTGAGACCTCATCTCTACAATAAATCAAAAACTTAGCTGGGCATGGTGGCACATGCCTGTGGTTCCATCTACTTGGAAGGTTGAGGTGGAAAGATCATCTGAGCTCCAAAGGTCGAGGCTATGGTGGCCATGAGCATGCCACTGCGCTTCAGCCAGGGCAACAGAGTGAGACTCCAACTCCAAAAACAAACAAAAAAACCAAAGTGGCTAGGGGAAGCAATTTTAACATTTATTATGTGTCAGATTACATATACATAAGTCATGTAATTGAACAAAAAATTTATTATACAAAACATTAAGATACCAAGATACACTATTTTGAAGATGAAATAAAGTGAAATTATATGTATATAGGTATATTCATAAATACAGTAGTCCCCCCTACCCACAGTTTCACATTTTCTGCTTTCAGTTACCCATAGTCAACCATGGTCTGAAAATAGATGCATATAGTAAAATAAGATATTTTGAGAGAAAGAGAAACAGAGAAGAGCCAACCATATTCATATAACTTTTATTACAGTATATTGCTATAATTGTTCTATTTTATTAGTTATAGTTGTTAATCTCTTACTGTGCCTAATTTATAAATTAAACTTTACCATAGGTACATATGCATAGGAAAAACATAGTGTATAAAGGATTTGGTACTATCCAAGGTTTCAGGTATCCACTGGGGGTCTTGGAATGTATCCCCCAAGGATAAGGGGAGACTACTGTATACAAAACCAAAGCTACCCAACAGTGAGAAACATTAACAGGGAAAATTCAAGTTATAAGAGAAGACATTCTTCTGAATTTCCAGGTTTCATCGAGCATCAAACACCACCACTGTATTAAACCAAGTTAAGGGCAAAAAAGTACTTAACAATGATGTAAGATTGAAGATTTCCAAGTTACTTTCTCTTTGCAATAAGCTAGTTTATTTAATTTAAAATGAAAAAAAGAAGCTGGGCTTGGTGGCTCAGCCTGTAATCCCGCGCTTTGGGAAGCTGAGGTGAGTGAATTGCCTGAGCCCACGGGTTCGAGACCCACCTGGGCAACTTGGCGAGACCTCATCTCTACAATAAATCAAAAAATCAGCTGGGCGTGATCGTGCATGCTTGCAATTCCGGCTACTCAGAAGGCTGAGGCAGAAAGATCGCCAGAGCCCAGCAGGTCGAGGCTGCAGTGACTGGGAGCGGCCACTGCACTCCAGTCTGGGCGACAGAGTGAGACTCCAACTCAAAAAAAATAAATAAATAAAAAATAAAATGAAAATGGAATTCACTATGTACTATGACAACTGGAGATGAACTAAAAAACAGCTGTCAATCCTTTCCCATGATACGATACAATAAAAAACAGTGAAGTAATGTTAAAGGTGATAATGTGTTGATATTGGAAATTTGTTACTGGCCGGGCTCGGTGGCTCAGCCTGTGATCCCAGCACTTTGGGAGGCCGAGGTGAGAGGATTGCCTGAGCCCGTGTGTTTGAGACCAGCCTGGGCAATATGGCGAGACCTTGTCTCTACAATAAAAAAAAAAAAAAAGAAAAGAAAAGAAAAGAAAAGAAAATTAGCAGGGTGTGGTGGCACATGCCTGTAGTTTCAGCTACTGGGAAGGCTGAGGTGGAAGGATCACTCGAGCCCAGGAGATCGATGCTGCGGTGGCCGTGAGTGTGCCACTGCATGCCAGCCTGGGCAACTGAGTGAGACTCCAGCTCAAAAAAAAGAAAAGAAATTTGTTACTTACCATATAACAATTTACTCTCAGTATTTGGGCTAATTTGTAGGCCCCACTTCTTCTTGATATATATATCAAGCTCAATAATGTATACCTAAAAAAATGGTCATGCACCACATAACATTTTTTTTTAATTTGAGTTGGAGTCTTACTCTGCTGCCCAGACTGGAGTGCAGTGGCTGCTCCCGGCCACGGCAGCCTTGACCTACCGGGCTCCGGTGATCCTTCCGCCTCAGCCTTCCGAGCAGCCAGAATTATAGGCGCGCACTACCACGCCCGGCTGATTTTCTTTTTTTTTTTGAGTTGGAGTCTCACTCTGTCACCCAGACTGGAGTGCAGTGGCCGCTCCCAGCCACCGCAGCCTCGACCTGCTGGGCTCCGGCGATCCTTCCGCCTCAGCC